CTCACTGTCAAGGACAACCTTACTTGGAATTCTTATGTGGACGAGGTTATAAAGAAAGTGAATAAAAGATTGTACTTTTTAGTGCAATTAAAACGGGCGAGAGTCCCACCACAAGATTTAGCGCTGTTCTATACGTCGGGTGTCAGGTCAGTTGTGGATTACGCGATTCGTGCCTTGTACCATTGTCTCCACCAACATCTGAAGCGTGAGTTAGTGCGTCTCGATAAAAGAGCTATATCAATTATTATGCCGGAAGTTGACTATCTAACAGGTTTGGAACGATTAGATATTAAGCCCATGAAGGATCACCATGAATATTTATGTGACAAACTTTTTAAGTCTATTATTCTTAATCCTGATCACAAACCTAATAGCTTATTACCAGCAAGATATAACACGAATTATAACCTGAGAAACCAAAGGAACTTCAACCCCCACAAATCATGACTAATAGAACAATGAATTCCATTATCTTCTCTATGTATAGCGCATGAAACTTGATGTTTATTTATTGGATGTTCGTATACAATTATTAGTGTAAATTAGCCTTTTAAACTTTTTATTGTAATTACTATTATAATAGTCATACAATTGTTAGAGTAAAATACACATACAATTATTAGAGTAAATTAACCTTTTAAACTTTTTACTGTAATCACTATTAAAATAGTAAATTATTCGTGTAATAAATCAAATTTTCTTGTCCAATTAGCAAATTGTAAATTACGCAATTCAGCTGTAAAGCTGCGATGTAAATATTTTAATAAATCCAAATCCAACTGGCTCCTGATGTCGAGCGATTGGTCTTGGGACTGTTATCATATCAGAAAGCATCCGTTTCTATGACAACCATCGTGATTTCAGTACGCCGTCAAGTTCAGCATCCCATGGGAATTTTGCATTACAAATGTGTCCATAGATGATCTTCCCTAGCAATGTCAAGGGTGAAGCAAGGCCCAGGTGGTCATAAGCTTTAGCCAAATGTCTGAGGATTTCCCATTTTGTTGTCGCGCTGTTCTCATCCTGCGTCAATTACACACCCAATGTATCTTCCCTTTTGTTCCACTGCATTCCAAGTATCTTTGACTCTGTCGGTGCTACGCCCAACTGGATCTTTGCAGCCGTCTGGTCTTCATCACTGGTTGGCAGTTTTTGTTCGTTTTCAAGGTCGCTTTGGTTCGATGCCCACTTATGAAGTGAGAATCTGGCATCATCAAGTATAGTTATGGTAGCTTCCTTTCGATCTTGTGCTTGCCATCGTTGAGAATCTCGTCGACGTACAAACTGCGTCTAATCTCTTCAACATCGTTGGGTCGTTTCTCTTTCCACATATCCAGGTGTGCTTCCAGGACGCCACCGAGAAGAAATGGTGATGGTGCTAGTCCAAACAGCGCCCTAGTAGACCGTAGGATCTGGATTTCGTCATTTTTTCGTCTCCAATGAAACAGAAGAGCATCTCTCTCTGTCTCTTCGATGCGTATCTGCGGAAAAGCCTGTTTAATGTCACCTGCCAAGGCCACTGAGTGTGTTAAGTGAAGGACTCTCTGGGGTTGCTTTCGCTGATGCGTTATATACTACACGCAGTTTGGTAGATGTCGCTGCCTCTCTCACCACTTCCTTGTGGGGTATGTAACTCTCTCTGTTCTCAGGTTTTGCTGGTGCCTCCTCAACAAATCCTTGAACCTTTTGGTCTTCCATTATAGCATTGTACCGTTCGAAGAGTCTCTTTTTGAGAAGACGATTCTGCAGAGATGTGAGACGCCGAAGCCTTTCTCTCTCATTTGTAGGAAGGGGAGGGTGATTCCCTTTCCAAGGTAGACTAGTTGTGTACCAGCCCTCTGGAGATCGCTGTAACTGCTTCTTAAACTCCCTGTAAACTTCAGTTTGGTCGTGCTCTGCAGTGTTAGACAGTCCTAGTACATCTAGTCGGCAGAATGCCTCATAATCTGACTGAGAGGTCTGGGTTAACATCATGTTATTATGGTCAAACTCCTGTCCTGGAGACATAATAAACCACCCCAACTTTGTGAGTTCAGCGATGGGTTCACCTTCTTTCCCAACTCGCGGACAACTCTCGGTTTTTATTCTGGAATACTCCCCCCACTCCTTCCAAGAACGACATGCACTGGTAACTGGGGCTTTGCATCATCATCATGAAGAGGCACTCCCTTAAGATGGGGGTGGGTATCAACTTGGATCTTATAGTGTGGGTGGTCAATTGACAAGTGTTCACTCTTATTTAATTTACCTTGATTAAGTCCACTTGCATGCTGAAGTCCCCATCAACTGACTGTATCTTCGTTTCGTATGTCTCGAGGCGTTCCAACTTACTACTCATAAGCATATCAATTTGTTTCATTTTCACATCAACAGGTTTTTGATTCAGAAGACTAACCAGTTTAGCTGAAACGTATGAGCTGCCAGCTTCCGAATCCAGAAGGGCTCTGCAGGTTACCCCCCTTCACCTTCACCGTCACAATTGGAAACATCCTTCGCCATTCTTTGCAGTCATGAGGTTATTCGTTTCCTTCGGTTGGTTGCAGACTGATGTATGGTGTCGCCGTTCGCAGTTCTGACATGCTATCTTGCTTGTACAACTCGCCGCTTGATGACCTTCGCCCGTGCAGTTGAAACAAAGTCGCCGTTTGGCCAGTATTGACTTTCTTTCCTTGGTATCGTCAACTTTGGGACAGTCAGTCGACTTGTGTTCCTTTGCATCACAATAAACACACCCTCGCGCACCCAGCTTTGTATTGAATACCTTGTTGTCACGGTTTCGTGGACGAGTGTCTTTCTTTATCGAATAATTGATGAGATTTCGTCGAGTCCCCAACTTTTAAGGCCTAAGTCAGTTTGTTGTAGTCCCATTCCTCCCATTCCGGGTCGGTCCGAACCAAATCGCTTCGTATTCCAGCTAACTTATCCAATGTCCTTGCAACGTTACCATTTATTTGTTCCAGCTTCCCCATTGTTTCCAATGACTGAACACAATAGGAAAGTTTCTCACTAAATTCGTGTACTTTCCCAACGTTTGCATCCGAGATGTAAGGAAAATCCAAAATTTGCTTAGTGTACGCTTTGACAATTTCAGACTCTTTCCCATACTTCCACTGGAGAATACTTTTCGCACGGTTATAGCCTTCATTCGTGAAGGGCAGGGCTTCGATAGTTGGTTTGACCTTTTTATCAAATAACTCTCTTAAGTACGAAAACTTTGTCACACTCGAGCTCGATACGCTTGACTTGTCGATTGTCTCTCGAAATTGGTTCCAAAATCGTTGCCAATCTTGGTAGGTTCCATTGAATTTTGTTATTACTAACTTTGGTAGCTTCGCTTCTAGCCCAGAACTTGACATGGAACTCGATATTTCTCCCCCGATTTTTCGTTGCTTGGTTTCCTCTAACTGCGAACTGGGTTTTATAATGTAGCTTAGCTTCGCATAATCTCTTTTCGAAATCGAATTGCTCTTTTCTACTTTTAGCTGTAGTATGTTCCTTGGTTTTAATGATCCACTTTTGTAACGTATCCAAGTCGATGTTAGCCTGGCCAATGCTATTTTCTATCTTTTATCCCCATTCTGTAATACTCTCAATATCTTCCCATTTGCAATTTTTAATCCCTCTACTGTTCGTTTAGAACTATCTGCGGCATTTACCAGATCCTTTAAAGCATCACGATGTTTTTCTATGCGTTGTTCGTTGTTCGAAGAGACAATTTTCTCGGTTTTCTCTCGAGTTATCATGTTTCAATTTTGTCTCCAGCGCTTGCTGTGCTTCGTCGAGTTCCGTTGGTTTTGTAGCTATTCGAAAACTGCGAATTCTTGCTCTTCTTCGAGCGTTTACACAAATATCTCGTCGCGAGGTGGCACGTATAGGAAACTACTGCCCGTCGCCCAGACAATAATCACATGAAACACAGGAAATCACAGTTTAAATCACAATTTCTCTCTCATATTTTTTTAACAAGTAAAACTACAATATTCCCGATTCCAATAACAAATATATATTCCCCCATAAAGCACATGTAAATAGTCCCTGTCTATTGGCTAAACCAAACAATGAATTAGCGCCGTCATGTCCGGTGAAATAGTAATTAGGTTAGTATAATAAACATGAACTATATTATTCATGTTAGTTGATTAGTATAGCGTCTGCTGTTAATGTTTACATTAGTTCCGACATGTTTTCTTTTAATTTCCAAATATCTTTCGAAAGTTCCGTTTTGTTTGAGTCTTTTTTATGAAAAAAAAGATGAAGTGTGGTTAGCGTAACGTTCCTTAAATGTAGTCGCTGTCATACCAATGTAGTGTTAGGGTCGTTCGTGCTGTTCGTTGTGACTGTGGCTTTGTAAATAATTAATGTTGTTGGTCATGGATTGTTTCGGTAGTGGCCAATTGTTTTTGTTGTTGCAGTTACAGTTCTCAGTTTCCGTATTCTGTGATTGACTGTTCCTAATTATATGTGCGTTGCGTTTGGTGATTATAGACTTAACGTTGTTCATGTAACTATAGCTTCTTTTTAAAGTGAATCTGTTGAAAATCTTGTGTAGTTTGTACTGTGGTGGAAAGTGTTTGTCAATTAAACTTAAGAATTCCCGTCCTATGTTCGTGTTAACATTCTTACTAAATGGTGGGTTGAACCAACTTATGTTGCGTTGCCTATTCCTACGTAACCGTTGCGGTGCATCCTGAGTGTACGTAAATTCGTGATCAAAGTTACTATGTCTAAGAGCGTTCTGGTAAATAGGTTTAGATTCCTTAAATGTTTGTTCGTCCGATGAGAGAAGTGCATTGCATTTGTTGATAGCCGTAGGTAATTGTCTTGTAATGCTTGGTGGATGGTTTGAGTGTCTGTTGAAGTACAATGGATCGTCATTGGGTTTCCTGTATGGTTTGTGTTTTGCGTTGATCAGGTCGAAAGTAACATCTAAAAAATTTACAACGTTCAACTTTACCTCGGCGGTGATTTTCAGGTCAAATTGCTCAAAAATTTTGTGAAACTCTTTTCTAGTTTTGTCTAGTAAACGGGCGGATTTGCTTTTAAAATAGCCAAACCATCATCTCTATAAAGGCTAATGTTTTCCTTGCCAAACCTCTTACCTCAGTGATTTAAAATGAAAAGGCCTACCAGCTCACAAATTTCAGCGCCGTCGAAACTACCCATAGTGACGTCAAATAAACTGTTGCTTGTGTCTTTTTTTCCCATAATTTGCCGTTGCCGAAAAGGAGAGATTTTCTTGCATGTTTTATTATTGAAATATCGTTTTCGGTGATAGTAGTCAAATCCGAAGCCCAGGCCAATGCTTCATTTAAAAGTTTTTCGGAAATGGATGGGTAAAAATCCACAATATCAAACGAAATAAAACTGTGCTTGTCCTTATCGTTCATAATGCCAAACCATGAAATTACTTGTTGCGTATTTCTGCACTGATTTGAATTTAATTTTTTGTCTCAAATTGGAATTGATTTTATCTAAAATAACCTTACTTAGTTTCCGGATTCACTTTTTGCGGGATTAATTAGTTGGCATTTTGGATTGTTTTCGAAATTTTCTTTGTGATATTTTAAAGATATAAATGCTTCGCGTTTTTTCATTCGTTCAATTCTGTCGCCAATTCCTAACCTACTCGAAATTTCTTTCAATTCGGAGTCAATTTCATCTACGAAGTCCTCTGATCCATGTTTTCGTGATGTTGTCAAGTAAGAGTTCGTTGTATGTGTTCAGTGACGTTTCGTAAATGTTTCTAGTTTTGTCCGCGAAAATGAAAATGTTGGGTGATGAATTAATTTTCTTCAAATCGTTAGCAAAAAATGTCCGAAATTGGTCTTTAGAACGCCGGAATTTTACGTTTTCAATTAGTTTTATCAAGTCGTCTTCAAAAGGTTTCAAAAGTGGAATTGAAGGAGGCGATTTGTTAGACGGAAGGCCGAAAAAGTTGCTTTGGTTTTGAGTCGTTGATTCTTTTAGGAATTAATAAATTAGCTTTCCATCTCATACGTTTTGTTACGCATTCCACTTTTCCAATCAAATTCTTTAAGTAAGCATCTTGTGATGGTATAGGAATATTCTTTAGTGAATAATCGAATCGAAATTGTCGCATGTTTGAAGTAGGAATAAAATGAACAACAACAACAACAACAACAACAACAACAACAACAACAACAACAACAACAACAACAACAACAACAACAACAACAACAACAACAACAACAACAACAACAACAACAACAACAACGACGACGACGACAACAACAACAACGACGACGACAACAACAACAACAACAAATTTATTAACACTAGAAGTTACAATACCAGCATACATAGAGTTTGAACTAACAAGAATAATAGTGACAGGAAGCCTGAAATAACTTTAAAGCTAAACTAGTCAGGTTTCCTATAATATTTGAATATAAAATTTAGATGAGGAATTTAAACAAGGTGTAACTACACTACGTAACTCACACACAAAAGGATAGCATGCAACTACAAGAATCAAATTAAAAAAAGAACGAAAAACGATGCAGATCAAGTCGTTTCATATAATTTAAGATAAGATTCCTTTAACTGTCTCTTAAATCGAAAAAAAGTAA